GTACAGTGAGTTTTCACTGGGACAGAAAAGGACTTTAAAATTTTGAAACGATCTGAAAGAATAAACAATGAAAACATTTTATTGCTGGTGGATAAATATGTAAAACCAGAAGGCATACGGTCATGATTGTTACTAGAAGAGCTAAGGCTAGACTAGATGTTTTCAAGAAGTACGTTTTTCAAACATCACGCGCTTTGCTACAAGTGGCTAATTGGGCTTGTGGCATGATAACATGTATGGAAAATTGGATAAACATTTGAAAAGCAACAATATTAAAGGGTACGTGGAAAAATCAGGGAACTGGAATTAGAGTCATTATCTCCAGTGGATACATTTGCAACAGTGAAACTTTGATTGCTTCAAAAGTTTCCTTCTGTGGTTCTTTTCTATCCTAGACAATAGCATAATGAACTGGTGTTCAAGGCTTGCTATTTGTTTACATGCCATCACACATTACGCAGTTAAATACACCAAGCTCTTTCACAATGATAGAATCTTGCCAAAATTAACATTAGTGGTGCAATAAATAGTACTATATCAGCTGTACAATGAAAGAAACATATTTCTTTGTTTCTAAACATTTCAGATTTGAAACCCTTACAATCTGAAACATGGAATCAGGGCCTGAAAGCTAGTCACTTTAATATTAATAAACAGTATGTTCTTTCTGAATGTTCTCCGAATGTAAAGCTTCTGTACAAGTTTCCTATCAGCCTTTAATGAATAGTTTATGACTTTTTCCCATGAAAACATTGACTATCACCAGCTCTAACCTAGTGTTAATTACTCCCCTAGCGATTTGCCTTTTCATGTGTGGAATTTTGCCTAAGTTCCTTCCAAATGGCCTTTAAAAAGGTCTGTAACAAACTGTAAATTGGTCTTTTTTTCTCCGTTTGCACAGCGATGTGTAAGCTGTACTTGAAAGGTTGGAATGCCGAGAGCCATACTGAATAATTTGTTAGTGTAATCATCCACCACTCCCCTTCTATTTGCTAAAATCAGAATTTTGACAGGAAAATGTTGACACCATTTAGAGGAATAGCAAATGTCACCCGCCCCAAAATAAAAAAAACGAGGCGAATGTTTTGTAAGATGTATTCTTAATTATCTGAAATTTCTTTCATTGTCTATACGTGATGAAAAAGGAGCCTGAGTCACAAATGGGGATATCTTTGAAAATGGTAATACTTTGTCCATCTTTATAAATGATGACTGATGTCAAGCAATTGAACTTGATAGTTATGCTTCTGTAGGTAACGTTACACTAACGCATGGCTTCACTAACTGTGCAATATGTTCAGCTGTATTATCACAATTACTTGAAATTTCAAATGTTCTCACTTAGCCACTTAGTTAACGCTGTCTCGGTATGCCATATTGCTGATTTGTACAGGGATAAATTAAATATTTATGTGCAAATTATTTACCTCCCTCAATATATTTACCTCCCTAAAAACAGCTGTCATCAACCCCATCCTGAAAAAACGTTCCCTGGACCCACCCCTGCTCTCCAGCTACTGCCCCGTATCTAACCTCCCATTCCTCTCCAAGGTCCTGGAATAAGTCGTCGCTTCTCAGCTCCGCTCCTTTCTCTCTCGCCATTCCCTCTTTGAACCCCTCGATTCCGGCTTCCGCACTGCCCACACCACAGATACAGCCCCGGTCAAAGTCACGAATGACATTCTAAACATCTGTGATCAGGGCTCCCTCTGCCTCCTTGTCCTCCTCGACCTCTCTGCCGCCTTCGACACTGTCGACCACTCCATCCTCATACACCGCCTCTCCTCCTTAATTAACCTTCATGGACCAGCCCTTGCCTGCTTCGATTCCTATCTCTATCACTGTCTCCACTTTGTTGCCTCTAACGGTTTCTCCTCCAGCCCCCGCACTGTCACGTCTGGCATCCCCCAGGACTCTGTCCTTGGCCCTCTCCTCTTTAATATCTACATGCTCCCCCTTGGTGACATCATCCTCAGACATGGGGTCAACTTCCATATGTTTGTGGATGACACCCAACTCTCTCTTTCTGCCTCACCCTCAACTCCATGACCACTGCTGTCCTGACAGACTGCGTGTCGGACATCGAGTTCTGAAAGAGGGCAAATTTTCTACAGTTGAATGTGAACAAGACTGAGGCCCTCCTGATTGGCTTGTCCCAGCGCCTCGGCACCGGCAGCATCAACCTCCATGGTTGCACACTACAACTCACCAAGCCAGTCAGGAACCGAGGTGTCATATTCGACCCTCAACTGTCTTTTCTTCCCCACATCCAAGCCATGACCCGCTCCGCCTTCTCTCACCTCCGTAACATTGCCTGACTCCGCCACTACCTCACCCCTCAGGCCGCTGAAACTCTTGTTCATGCCTTTATCACTTCCAGGCTCGACTATACAAATGCCCTGCTTGTCAGCCTTCCCAACTCCTCCCTCCACAGGCTGCTTCGATAATCCAGAACTCTGCAGCCTGTGTCCTCTCCCGCACCAAACTCCATGACCCCATCTCCCACTCTCGCCCGACTCCATTGGTTCCCTGACCTTTAGAGGATCCAGTTCAAAATCCTGGTCCTCACCTACAAAACACTCAATGGTCTTGCCCCACCCTATCTCTGTGACTTCCTAACCCCCTACCAACCTACCCGCTCCCTCCGCTCAGCCGGCTCTGGCCTGCTCCTCGTCCCCTGACCCACCCGACCCACCATTGGCGGGAGAGCCTTCACCCACTCAGCCCCCAACCTCTGGAACTCCATCCTCCCAATCACTCCGCCTCTCCCCCTCCTTAACCTCCTTCAAGTCCACCTCAAAACCCTCCTCTTCGACCATGCCATTGGTCACCCCCTTTCCCCTCCCCTCCCTTCTCCCCCCCTGACCCCAGCTCGGGTCTGAAATGCTGTACGCTGTCCAGCGCCTTGGGATGTCCTCTTGTTGTTGTTGTTGTTGTTATTGTATATGTGCCACGTGGGTCTCAAAATCAAGTCTACCATTTTATAGTTCTTCTTCATTCAGAGACATCATGTAGAGACAATGAGCTGGGCTAATTATCAGCAGTTTCAATGCACATCTCTTCTGATGAATTTGGGTGTGTGGGGATGGACAGGCGTTCCCATGAATTGGGTCCCCTGACCTGCACAGAGCATTGGGGGTGTATTCAGATATATTCATAGCAGATCAGGTCCAATTATACGATATTTATGTTTAGATTCTGTACAGTTTTCTTGGTAAAATAAACTGATGGTTACCGTCTGCTTTAATGATTCCAAACACTGTTGGCTGTCAATTTTGCTAGTGAGGCGTATGCATCCTCTGTACTCAGATAATAAAAGCCAGTGTCTTAAAATGTCTTTTAAACATTCTGATTTACAGAAGAAAATGCCTCCTGTGATATTCTAGTGGAGACAACCTTGTGTCACATCGCTTTGAAACTTTTATTTATCAAGGTTACACCACATCTTTTGGCTTCCTGCATACATTTATTTCACTGTTGACATGCTCTTACTACCTCAGCAGAGCGCCACACTGGAAGAACTGAACAGTAAGAAATAATGACTTGCTTTGACAACTGTATCTTCATTAGCGGCATCATGAATTGGAAGCTTTTACATATGAAGCGTTTGCCTATAAAAGCAGTCACTACACTTGACAGTAATTATCTGTGTAACAGTGGGAGACGTGCTGTGAAAATGCAAATTTTCTAAAAAATTTCAAAACACTGCTACTTCACAGAGACCAGAACCTAACACACGAGATCTGCTGCTCCAAGATCATGATGACTTTTAAATTAAAAGTTTTTTTTGACAGTTTCTGAAATGAGATTTTTGCATTAACATGGCTTTACAGAATCTCTCTGTAAGACTGTCAGAAACAATGTTCAATGAGAAAGATAACAGCAAACCTGCTCCATTTTCTGTCTATCCATAGACAGACTGCTGTACAAGCAGTAGCATCACGATGCTCTGAAATTGGTAAACAAAACTTTCTAACTTAGAGCCTGACGGAAAAAGAATGCTCAGACATTGCCTTTGTTTTCATGGGAATATAGTATTGGTTAACTTCTAAAATATTTTAATTGCATAGCATCCGGAGATAGAACTGTTACTCAATTTTTGTAGTAGATAAGAGAGCATGCAGATTTTGCCAAAATCTTATATTATGTCTTAATTTTGAAGGCATTTTTTCTGTTAGTTCTTTGAAGAATTATAAGAGGCTGGTGTCAAAGTTAAGACTAAATTAAAGAATTTGCCAAATTCTGGATTCTCTGAACTGTTACATAAATAGAGTAAATCTAGCCCAGGTGGAATTTCTCCCCGCTACACCCACACCCACACCCCCACCCACCAAACCCCAGTAGTTTGATTCTGACATTCCTGGTGTCTGTCCAGAAAATTGCAAACCTGTGGCCTTGAAGAATTCTCCACATAAAAGGCCTATTCTTTCCTGTTTATTTATTGAATACCCGGTCAGCTCATAGGGTCACATAGCTAATGTGACTAAGCTCAGCCATGCTCATTTGATATATTTCCACAAAACATGCCCCTGCTTTAACTTTTAGTAAAATACATTGAGAATGAAATATACCTGTTTTTAATCCAGCTGAGTAATGTGTTATTCAATTCAATTTGCTGATGATGACCCCGTTTAAGAATTCTGAGTCACAATTGATGTCTTGCTGATTATTATTAACTGACATAATGATATCACATTTTTCTCTTTAACTAAAGAAATGTAGAAATCCTGTAAACTCATTCAATCTTTCTGAATTACTGTATTTCTTTCATAGGATCCAAAATTCAGCATTTATTTCAGTTGGTTTATTTCAATTTAGATATGTTGGAATGCTGTCAGTGTACTTTAAAGATGAATATTTAAATCTTAGCTGATGTTATTGTGATTTGGAATTGTTAACAGTTGCTCAGGGTGTAATAAATGTAGTAGGTTCTTCATTTCAGATTGTTTTCTCTTGTCTTGAGGGTAGTTTATTGTCTGATTTCCTTGTGCTGCACCCAGGGCACGGAAACTGCAACTGTGGAAAGTGTAAGTGCGACAAAGGCTGGTTTGGGGATGCCTGTCAATACCCAAAGACTTGTGCCATCCCAAAGAAAAAAAGCAATGAGATGTGTCAAGATTTACAGGGTGTAATATGTTCCAACGCAGGTAAGAACAATTTTTTTTTCATCTAGCTATTTGATAGTATATATTCCAATCACGCTACATATTCCCTCTTTAGAAATGTGGAATATATAAAAATTACTGATTAACTAAAATAAATTTAGAAAGAGAAGTCCTTCCACTCACCCTTAACAATATAATAGTTTCTGTCTCCATACATAGATTGGGTCTTACAGTCACTCAGAAAGATTGGTAATGTTCCAAGATGATTAGCACAGAAAATAAACACAAAAATTGTGTTAATACATAAGTATCAGAGTAACATTAATGTCAGTTCTTGGTGGAAGCTGCAAACTGATGGTAGGAAGCAATCATTGCACATTTGCTATGTTTGTTCATGTTCAGAAATCTTGCTTTTGTCATAATTTGCTGGCATTAGCTTACTCTGCTACTGACTGATATCAATGAGCAAACATTTGTGTGAATGATTTCACCTTTGGCTTGAATCAACTATTGTGAGTGTCTGAAGCAAAAAAATAAGAGATCATTGCCCAAAGCTATAGTTTATGTAAGCTAATGTAAAAGTTATATAGAAGGAAACTTGCAGTAATAATTATCACTAGTTTTGATGAGGTTGACTGATTCCAAAAATTCAACATTGGGCCCAAGGAGATTTTATGCTTATTCACCAGTTAGTAGGCTCAAAATAATTATATAGCTTAAACATCTTAAATTAAAAAGTTATTCTAGTAATATATTAATAATAATAATCCTTTCATTTTGATATAGCGCCTTATCACATTGTTGAGAAGTCTCAAAGCGCTGCACAGAATATACTGTAAAGTGAATATATTTTCTTCATATATTTTGTGCGCAAAACGCAGCAACCAATTGGAGGTCGCAGATGTAGGGTGAGGCGAGGCCATGGAGGGCTTTGTATGTGAGGATCAGGATCTTGAACTGGATCCTCCAAAGGATAGGGAGCCAATGGAGTTGGGCGAGAGTCAGGGAGATGGGGTCACAGAGTTTGGTGTGGAAGAGGACATGGGCTGCAGAGTTCTGGATTAACTGCAGCCTATGGAGGGAGAAGTTGGGAAGGCCGGCAAGCAGGGCATTTGCATAGTTGAGCCTGGAGGTGATGAAGGCATGAACAAGAGTTTCAATGGCCTGAGGGGTGAGGTAGTGGCGGAGTCGGGCAATGTTACGGAGGTGAGGGAAGGCAGTGCGGGTCATGGTTTGGATGTAGGGAAGAAAAGACAGTTGAGGGTCGAACAAGACACCTCGGTTTCTGACTGGTGTGGTGAGTTGTAGTGTGCAACCATGGAGGTTGATGCTGCCAGAGCCTGAGGTGCTGATGCGTTGGAGTGAGCCAATCAGGAGGGCCTCAGTCTTGTTCACATTCAACTGTAGGAAGTTTGCCCTCATCCAGGACTTGATGTCCGATGGCAGTCTGTCAGGACAGCAGTGGTCCTGGAGTTGAGGGTGGAGACAGAAAGATAGAGTTGGGTGTCATCCATGTGGATCCCATGTCTGTTGATGATGTCACCAAGGGGGAGCATGTAGATATTAAAGAGGAGAGGGCCAAGGACAGAACCCAGGGGATGCTAGACGTGACCGCGCGGGGGCTGGAGGAGAAACCGTTAGTGAAACAGACTGAAACAGAGCTGGCTGTAGCACTCATTGGACTTGCTGGCTAGCAAGATAGCAACAGACTAAACTGAACAAAAATTAGAGTTAACTGGCAGTTCAATGCTGCAATCCACAGCCAGCAAGTCTAATTCAGGAGATGGCCAACTTCAGGCCTGAATACTGTGATGGAGGCAGGATGGGAGGGAGTTTCATCCAGGGTGGGACCAGTTAATGTCTAGTTATTGACAGGACAGAAGTTTTAGCAATCACAGGCTTCAAATTCCACCCTGTTATTTTATAATCCAACAAATATGCCAAGACTGTTTTTTCTATCTATTTTTATGGCATATGTCCGGGTAGACAATGTAATGCAACAGCTGTAAGTAATGTGAACTGCGGCCTCAGAGCACATTCAGCAGGAACTGAAGAATGTTGTTTTTCACATTTCTCAGGCACATGTCACTGTGGCAGGTGCATTTGTGACAACTCTGAAGATGCCAAACTGATTTATGGAAAGTTTTGTGAGTGTGATGACCGCGAATGCATTGATGATGAAACTGGCGAGATCTGTGGAGGTATGTGTAGACCTACTGAATTTTAACCATTGCTGCTCTGCATTATACTCCACAAAATATTTATCAATGTTAAAATATTCATGTTCTATTGTGTTCCTTGGGTGCTGAGCTTTCCTGTGACCTTTGCTTCAAAAACTTTCTGTTTAAAACTTTGGCAACATTAGAAGGTTAAAGCTTAAGATTTCAATATAGAGATACCCCAAAACATTTTCTCCCCTCAAATGTTCTCCCTTTCTCTCCTGATTCACTGGATTCTATGGGCATCAAATTCCTTCCAGCCCAACATTCAAATCGTTGTTCTGTATGTATCAGCTTAGATGGTGAGCGCTGCAGACTATGCAAGGAATCAGACTTAAGTCTGATCTTGTTACTCAACTGCTTGCACTTTCTAGCATGAAAGGAGGACAAAGCTTGGCTGTTTGTTTTCTGACTTCCCTTGCCTTGAGACACTGAGGGTAACTATAGTGCTTCATTTGGCTATGAATTACTAGCTCAGGACAGATGAGGGATCAATCTCGTGATCCTTCTTGTTTGTGTGGGTCAGTTCACTGGGCAGTGCTTTCACTAACTGAGCCAACAGGGGAAGATATCTATGGTGAAATATTACAAATAATCGTAGCAGAGGTTGGCTAGTTCACTAATGTAGCAATGTTACAATCTGGAATTTGCTATATAGGATCAGTACCAAACATTAAGGTCATTCACCCATTGATCCATTCAGGGAATACTATTATGTCTTTGTTTTCTTTGAATATCTTTTTCATATCTTACTTGTCTTGGTAGGAACTTTAGAAAATATTCTTGAGATTGTATATATTTACATGAATCCTCCACCCATACTATTTCCCTCTCCTTTTACTCTCCTATACTCCTCTATTCCTTTCTTCTTCATGGCCTCAATGAACACTGGCCAGGTTCATGTCTCCTGCCCTATCAGCCATTGTACCCCCGATCTCTGGATCTCCAAGCTAGAGTCTTTCTAACTGGCTCCCTCTCTCCCCTCGGTCAAGGCCCATCTCGAGACATATGCTTTTGGTCATCTTTTCCCTCCCCAGCCGCCCATTCCTTTCAGCTCTCACTCTCAGCTTGGGTGCTCAGCCAGCAATGTCAAGCGCTTTGAGATGTCCTCCTGACGTGAAAGATGCTATATAAATGTCAGTTGTATTGTATGTATACATTATGTCCTCTTTGCATCATGTTGTAGTCCTTGAAACAAGCTGGGTACTTCTATCAAAATTAAGATTATTGACCTATTTCACATGTACAGGTTGACTTCATACTGTTATCTGTTTAAGCTGGCTGGGTGGTTGTGCAGGGTTGGGGGCGGATGTGGAACTTTATCTGAGTTTATTTTTAATTCAATATCTTTTTAATTGGATTTGCAGCATAATCAGTTTATTTTCTGAACCTTTCCAAGCATGAGACACTTGTGCTTTGTGCAGGAAACAAAAATAATTTGAGATGTGAATGCAAGATGGAGGTATTATCTGTCTGGAAATGTATCAAATTGTTCAGTATTTCAACAGAGTAATTATGTTCCATAGGAAAAAAGCCTGTTAAATGTTGCTGAGATATTCTTGAATTGTGAATTCATTGCTTTTTCTAATATTTGTTATGGTTTAAGGCCATGGAAAGTGTTACTGTGGTAACTGTTACTGTGCGCCTGGTTGGCATGGAGATAAATGCGAATTCCAGTGTGACATTACCCCTCGGGAGAGCAAGAGAAGATGCTCGTCTCCAGATGGCAAGATCTGCAGTAACAGAGGTCTGTCTTTAAACACTTCAAATGCAGATGTTGCTAGTCATCTGCTGGAATGAATTATGTCACCCACTTTCTGTGATTAGTTTGGTCTGAAACTATCTGATACAGCAGGGTTCAGGTATGACCTTGTGCCCTTCGGGATACTTGAGGGAATCCACTTTATCATCTGCAATATTTATCATTTTAACACTTTTAAGACAAGCGTATTTTGAAGCCTATTGTCTGAAAACTATTTTCTCCAGATTTGCATTTGAAACAAAAAAGAGGCTAATGGATGTGCTGGATCCAAAAAAAAAGCAGTCAAAGGAACACCATTACAGCAGCCGTTCTGCATGGGTTCTCCAAAATGACAGTCAAATTGAGAAGGCTCCTGTGCTGGCTGCTGTCCAAAAACTATTACAGTGTAGCAAAATTGCACGGCTGTAGTTCCCGACCTAAAAGTGTATCATCAGGGTAATCACGTACCATAACCACAGGAAAAATTGCCTGAGATTGGTTAGAGAACACTTATGTTAATTATAGGCACATTTAAACCCTGAATCAAATGAAATTCATTGAGCTGGCATTTGGCTGCATTGTGCACTGGAATCAAGTATGTACACCCCTGATAGCCAATTTGGCTTTGATGAAAACAATTCAAGGGCACCAAGTGATTTTCTCACTGGGAATGTGAGGAAGATTCAGAGTGCTGCCAGTGAGAATGTGATTCTAACTGACAAAGCTCTGTGATTTATTTTGGAAAAAAGCAGACATGAACATTATACTTGCTAAGAAGACTGGACTCACAGCAGAGAAGCGATCAAACTTGGTGCAGCAGCAGCATTGCCCAGAGATGTTTTTATTCTGTAGTCTGTTGTTCATTTTGTAGAGCCCTGTAGCAAATATATGAAAATAATCAGATATACAGACAGTGTTTTTTTTAACAATTATTATTAATTCTTTGAATAGTGAATTTTCCCTATGGCTGTAGGGGGGAACATTATTGGGATATACTGCAGTGAAGGAAAACTGCATTAATAAAAGGAATTTGGTGACACAAAGATGAATGGGGAGAAAAAATGTCTGTACTTGAAGCAAAGTTAGCTCTTTAGCAAATTTAATACTCTTATCTGCCTGAATGTTTACTCCAATGTTAGATGCTTTAGGGTAGGCACCATCAACAACAATTTACATTTATATAGAGTCTTTCATGTAAACATAAAGTCTTGGAGCGGTTCGTAGAATAAGATTCATTAAAAATGAAGTGCATGATTTTATCGAGGCAAATGCACTAGAGTGAAAAGACATGGAAATGCAGACACACACAACTGCCCACATGCATGCTACACTTGTGCAACTGATGTGGTGGATAGAAAGCTTGAAGAAACACTTATAGAATCTGCTTTCAAACTGCAAAAATACTCCTCTTGGAGTAATCTCATTGCAAGGCGATTCTTAGTTACACCAGAATCTACTACTCTTCAGCTAAATGAAAGGGCCATTCCATATCACACTGTACTTACATGCCGTATCATACTGTATTTACTTGAACTGAAAATGCATTACACACATCAAAGGCTATTTCGATCTCCATGGAAGTCGTAGAAGTGGTTAGACCACTCACCTCGCAAGTGAGAGATCTGGGTTCGATTCCTGGCAGGGTGAAACCTTGGGCAAGTTTCCTTACTCTACACGCCTGATAATAAACCCTCAAGAAAAAAAAATTGGTCACTCCAATCCACTACTGTTGATGGGACACTGCTGTGCGCAATTGGCTGCCGCATTTCACCCACGAATAGAGTCAATTCACTTTACAGTATATTCTTTGAAGCACTTTGAGATGTCTAGAAGATGTGAAAGCACTATATCAAATGCAAGGATTATTATTATTATTATTAATGGTATGATTGGAGTAAAACAGCTGCAAATAATTTACCACAGTGATACTCATTCTATGTCCATTTGCCAAGAATCTCCTTACATTAAGTCTACATTGGGAGGGATATTTTTGCAATTTGAAAGCAGGTTGTATAAATGTTTTCTCAAGCTCCTTATCTGCCACATCGTTTTTGCATGCAACTATGAGATTTCATTGATCGCTAGCCTGGCTATGAGATATCGATTTTGCTAAGGATCAGTACTTTTTTCTCTCCTTTATTTGCTATCTAGCAAAATAATAGGAAGGAATGCTAATAGTAGGCATGGTTATTCCAGCTTTCATAATCCAGTGAAAGAGCTGCATTAAAGATAAAATTATTCCCAATGTGAAAGGCATTATACAAATGTAATTTATTGTTGTTGTTTGTTGATTCAGTAAGTCTATTAGTTCTATATTTTTATTTCTTCATGTGGTGGTATGTCTGGATTCCACCTGACATCTGCCCACAGTGGCATAATTGAGATGAGGAGCTCACTGTATTCAGGATCACATTATAAACTCTTGTGCCACCAGTGCGTAGTACACTGAGTCACAGGAATCCCAAGAGTAGTTGTCAAACAGGGGATTATCTTGCAACTAAGTGTACTAATATTGTGTGTTTTCTGATGGGTTCCAACTCACTTCCTAGACCATATTATTTCCCAGAGCTACACAACTAAGTTTGTGATTCTTTAAACCTGTATTCTGCTTCAGTTTCAATATTTTTTTGAAAACTCTATGTAGTCAGAAGCTAAACAGTTTAATGTAATCTGGGAAGTAGTACATCATGGATGTTTGCACTGGAAAAATCTAGCACTGTTATTGGATGCCTGTTTATTTGAAGATTAATGAAAGTGTTAAAATGATATAAAAAAAAGACAGTATAATGCCTAACTTTAATGATGGCATTGGGCAAAGTAAATATAAATTAACTAAATGAAATCCTGCAGTAGTCAGTTACATACATGCAGTTACATGGTATGGCCATTGTTTGTTATCTTATTGTAGCTCATTGAATGATTTTACCATGATAGACTGCAAAAAGTGAAGATCGAATGGGAAATTACGTTATGTCTTTGAGTTTTGCTAAATTTGCTTTCAACCTCAGGCTGTTGGCATTCATGGCATTCATCCTACATCATGTGTAGATTAAAGCACAACATTGATCACAGCCATTGGGTTTGTTAATTGTTGGATTGATGCAACCACTATTGTACATTATTCACTTCACTAATGTCAACTAAAAAATTAACACAGGCTTTTTCTCCCTTTGAAAAACATTTTCTATGTATTCCTAACACCCCTTAGCTTAGTGCAGTAATTCCCATCTTTTCTTATCCACTAGCCACAGACTAGGTCATTGTAATATGTTTGCACATCTGGTGAGTAGCTAAATCCCTCCACTAAGCATCATTAACCTTAGATCTGTATTTTATGCTGTAATAAAATAGTATAAAATACCCCAGCCTATAGGTCTAGACTATTTCTTTCACATTGCAACAATTAACTTCCATTACACCTCTTATCATATTTCTGTAACGTTACCATTTTATATCATAATTTTGATAACATTTAATTTTAAATGTACTTAAAATTGTAGTAAAACCTACCTATCACATTAAATGTTCTTGATATGACAGTAGTTACTGCTGTACATGAAATACAATCATAGATTTCCAGCACAAGTGCATTTATTGATCACACTATTTTTCTTCAGGGAATTGCATTTGTGGCGAGTGCATTTGCTACGATCTGGATCCTAGTGGGGATTATGGTGATATTCACGGACTATTCTGTGAATGTGATGAGCGAAACTGCCTTTCACTATACGACAGATACGCTGATGAATTCTGTTCAGGTAAACAACTTATGAAGCAGTCAATGAATCACACTATCTCATCTTCTCTTGAATCTCTGTGACTTACTTCCATAGCACTCAATGTTATACAGGGTGACAAAAATGTTGTGATACAATTACAATGTCTAATAAGTCTTAAAGGAATGATGATATTTTTGTTTTGTTTCAGATAATAGGGTAGATATCATAACTGTTTGGTCACCCTGTACTTTAGTCTAGGTCAGCCAGATACAGACACCGATATCAGGTTCTTAGATTATGTTACATGAAGGTTCATCATGTTCCAATAGTCCTTAGTTGTTAAAAGTGCATGAAAGTGTTTTAATAAGTGTTATATATATTTAATATATTTCGTAACGTTCGGAACGGTTTCATCTGCACTAATGGGCTTGGAGAAGAAGTCACTATTTGGAGCTGTCCACGTCTTTACCAGAATGTCAGTAACCCAAAGTCTGAATTTCTCACATTCTTAGCCCTACAACCAGGAGTTTAACATTTCAAATCAACAAGAGCAACAACAAAATTACATTTGTATAGCATGTAGATTTTTGGAAAATTCTTAAATCCATTCTCAATTTGGAAGTGGTATTTTTGCAGTTTTAAAACAGAAATTGTGTCTTAATTTAGAAACCATCTCATCAAATTAATAATTTAATAATTTTCTAAAATACGTCTTGAGCAATGGTCTGAAGGCTAAGCCCATGAGATATTATAAGCCTCTGGTTAGTGAAATAGTCCTGCACATGACCTACTTTACTCTGGGGATTCTGTTATCCATCAAATGTTTCCAGGACTCTACTCTGAGCAAAGTTTGACATTTAAGATCTAACACGTGAAATTGTTTTCTCTGTGATTTTTTTTCCTGTTTTAATTTGTAACCATCTAGCCAGAGAAAAGGCAAATAATTATTCACAATCTGCATTATTTATAATTTATTGATTGAAAGAGTACTACATGTCCCACAGATTCTACTTGTTTTTATTGGTAGCCTGCGAAACAGATGACACATTTTTATGCTCTGCTGAGGCCAAAACACAATCAAATAATGGGACAGACAGAAATCACACTGGGATTCAGAGAAGTGAGAAAACAAAACATCTTCCTACTGATTCCTCTGCTTGCAAGAATATTATGGCAGAAAGTTTTTATTGTGATAATTATCAATGATAATTTGGACATAGAATCTGCTATGATTTACCACATAACATTTTAATCCATTCCTAAACATTGGCCATGGAACTAGCTCCTGCTCTCTCAACCTCCTAACCTCGTGTGTTTATACAGTAAAACTCATATAAGTCGAAACAGTCAGGACATTTAATATAACGTACATGAAGTCTGAGTTGCAGGCAAATTGTATAAATCATAAAAAATCCAATTTAATCAATAAGCTATATTGCCTATGCGTAATTGTATGCAGCTGGTAAGTGCACATGTTGCAGTTCGTCACTACAGCCGGTAAATGTGCATACGTTGATGGGTCAGGATGTCATTTCCAGCGATTCATTGCAGTAATGAGTAATGGAGGGGAGGGAGGCAGCATTACGAGTTAGGAGGTGATTAATATGAGAAGTGCAAAGAAATCTAAGTGGTTTTGATAGGAAATTGAATGGGACTCAGGTGAATGTATGACTTTGACAATTATACGATTTATTATAGATAAGACTTATGCGAGTTTTAAGGTATATTGTTTGGCTCCTATTCATGATTTGAAAATTGCTTGCCATTATCTTGCCTGCCAGTTTGCCACACACGTGACTTTGTTTTCAATTCCGGCGACATCACTTGAGCACTGCTTCACATGATACCAAGTTATGTCGGTATCCTGCATTTAGCTGTGCTCAAATGAATGGGTGGTGGTGGCGGGCAATATTGTCCCATAATTGTCCCATCTGAAAGTTTTACCCCATTCATTTCATGGGGGCAGAGGCAAAGGATAGCAATTGATGAATATGTATTATGATGATGAAAAACTGAATTGTAATAGCTGACTGTTGGATTTAAACCGAAGGTCATGGGCAGTGCAACTGCGGAAAATGTACCTGCAAAGTAGGATGGACCGGCAAGATGTGTGAGCACCCTGTATCCTGCCCCTTGTCACTCAAAGGCAGTTTTAAAAAATGTAAAGGAAATTCTGACCTACCCTGTTCAGGAAGAGGTAAGTGCCAACACTTCTTGCAGTTAGCGGTCATAAGTATATTTAATGTGATTTACTTTTAAAATTAATCAGCCAAAAGGAGATCAGAAATCTTGTTGATCCTTCTAAGCTCCGAGCCGATCATCCAACACATCTGCTCGTAGAGAACACTGTGTTCCTTTCTGCACTGCTGTCATGACGTAACACAGAATCTTTAATTTAAGGGAATTTATTTCCTCTCCTCCTCCAAAAGTAGACTGAGCATTGCAGCTCAGTATGGAATAACATGTTCTTTCCTTTTGGCTTGAGACCAGAACATTCCCTAACACTGAACTCATGTAATGGAGCTAGAGAACTTTTCAGGTAAGGGATAAGATTGTGTTGTGTAGCTCAGACTGGTTATGTAGTAATGTTATCAGAGGCATAGACACTGGTCTAATTTATTTTACCAATCCAACATCTAAATCATTCTACACATCTGTCCCATCATTCTAACACCCTGAATTCTTTTAATTTCCAGAAACTTGTCTAGTTATTTTTCAAAACCCTTTATAGTTATTTTTCCTATCAGTGTTGATTTTGTAACATACAAACCAAATAGGAAGTAAATTACTGCATCCAGTGCAGAAACAAGCTGGTTGCTTCTATATAAAAGTATAAAGGAAGCGTCCTTATCTATTGAGATTTCTCTTGATTTTAGCTCTTACCTTTTATCATTAGCTCTTATCTTTAGCTCTTACCTTTCACCCACAAAATATACAGTCAAATCACTTTACAGTACATTCTATGAAGCACTTTGAAACATCTCGAAGACATGATGAAGCTCTATTCCAAATGTAAGGATTATTATTATTATTATTGTTATCTGTGTAATTGTTGAAAACATCAATTCAAGGTACCAGGTGTAAAACTCTGGACAAATCGGAATTCAACACAACTGATAAAAGGGAGAACTGTGAGAACACACGCCAAAAAATCAACTGGAAAACTGACTTGTACAATTGAATTAGTATTGAATATTCAATCTTATCTCTACTTGTATGTTGATTGTGTACTTTTACACTTGTTGAGGCAGTAAAAGAAAGTTATATTCTCTAATTGGAGCTTGGAGCATTGTGTCAAGAACAACACCTCATTTTGATAAACCTACAAAACAATCTACACATAATCAGACCTACTCTATGTAAGTAGGAAGACAATAACAAAGAAAATAGACAAGAACATTTAAATATTTAATATTACAGCATTCATTTGATTAATCTGCATCTAACATTTGAGTAGTTTTATTTGTGTAGTATTTATATTTGTTAAGGCGTCTGTGTGCTGAAAACTGACAAAACTATTTAGCTTAGGAAGACATGAATTTCCTTCGACATGACAGCATTTCAAAGGTTGCAATTAATACCTAAGAGCACCTGCTCTAGTACATTTTGGAAGAGGGTGCACTAAGCAGAGGGAACTCCATCCCACATTCCCTTCACCTCTCTCCCTCCCTTTCCTCCTTCAGGGCACGACTCAAGACCCTCCTCTTCACTGTGCCTTCAGCCACCCTCCTACGCTTCCTGCCCTCCGCCCTCCCTGATCCTGACCCCCTATTCGGGTCCAAATCCCTGATTGTTCAGCACCTTGGGACATCCTCCCGACGTGAAAGGTGCTTTACAAATGTAATTTTGTATTATATCTCTATCTTAATACCTCAAACTTTTCGAGGTAGGTATCATTCCTTGCCAAGTCAGAATAAGAGCTATTATACACATCAGCAATGAAATTCTGAAAGTTTTGCTTCAAAGTTTGTGTAGAGGTTACAGAACAAACCTCTAATTGATGCATTTCTATGACAGCTATTCTGCAGTTAGCCCTGGGCCTAGTATAACTGCTCATTGTTGTGCTTCACGTTCCTCACTGCTGGACATTTCCATTCCATTCCTCTTAGCGAGACTTGTCAACTCTCACTCATTTGAAATGAGATTGATTCCAATTGATTTGAAAATGTAACTTAAATTTGATATTTCTTTCTTACTCTAAAAATAAACACAACTCAAAGTTATTAAAGAGGCAAGAATATGTCTCAGTCATTTTGAAAAAGAGACTCAGATGACCCTATTATTTCCTGATGTTAATGGCTATGCATTTTGCTACTTTAAATTCACTGCACTAACCCCTCACAGAACCTAATGTAGTTTAAAGTCTTTTAAAATGAATTGCATGTTTCTACATCATGTCATCTGTTCAATGGTCTCAGCAGACTTATGGGTCAAAAAAGCTTGTGGACATATTGGGAGTTATTCCAAAATAATTTCGATGGGAAATTCGATTTTAAGTGCTCATTGAAAGATTTGCTATATAGCTCTTACTGAATGGAGCTGAGTAACCCCTATTGTTTACATAGGCAAAACTAGTTTTGTGTCCGTTTGAATTCTTCAAGTAAAACCTGGTGATACATGAGTTAGATCAAATTGTAGCACTTTCTTATACGTGTGACTGCTATGTTAAGGTGGAACAATGTAAAAACCTATCACCAGTTTCTCAAGCCTTATCGACTGAAGATTTGTCATTTGAGTAGGCATGAAATGCTGACATTTTCGGTGGCCTATTATTATGTGTTAAAATGTGACATTGCTGGAGAAAGCATGAAGGACAGAGGAGGACCTCTGTCAGTGCTATCTTTCTTGCCACATGTGCAAATTTGTGCCAGAAAATAGCAGGTACCTTGCAGCAATCATTACCACCGTACACCTCTGCTACGGGCATAACTGTGAATCACTGAGGAGATTAGCCGCTAGCAGATAGATTTAGAAATAGGCATTACCCTGAGGTTAAGCATAATGTTACTTGTTTATCAAGAGAATTGCGTTTGTTTTCTGAATGTTGTGGCATGAGTGTTGTAACCTTTTTAAACTCAGAGAACTACAGCAGGGTGGAATGGGGGGATTTTATTGCTGGCAATTAGTATGTACCTTATGCTAATACATGTTCACAGTGAACTAATGCAAGATCAGATTTAACTGTTAGATGTGATGCACCAGTTTGTGTATTGGAAAGCTGTGGGTGGATGAAAATGTCTTACACCTGAAGATAAAAAGAATCAAAATGTTGCAAACATCTTAAAATTCAAAATTTCCCTCCTCCCCGAGCATATTGATAGGAATGATAGAAACTGAAATTGAAGCTTTTCAATAACTTAACAAAGTGCTAGAAATTAAAGCTTGAAGATTCAGTTTGCAGGTTGGGAGATGCATGTAAACTGGTGATACCTCCAGCTGTTTCATTTAAGCTTAAAATGCTTTCCATTTCTGTCTTATCTCCAAACCTGTATGGCTTAGCTATTGTAATCACAAAGCCAGGAAGACAACTGTTCAGCCTTGATATTTTTGAGCAATGTGCTCAAGTATTTTAAAATTATTTTGTAAGGTATTCTGCAGTCATTCACTAAGAAACGTCATAAATTTATCAGAGTGGCTTCTTTTATCTGCTATTATTGTCTGGGTGTTCTGGTGTTCTAGCAGTGAATTATTTCCAGTAGATTATTCAGGCCACAGTGTGCATCTCTATGGGAACACTTGTGTATTACTAATTACTGATCTCTCATAAGTGGGAACCTTATCTTGAGGACAATAACTGATGATCAAGCTACCAATGTTAAGACAGTGTTACTCATTATTACTCAGCCACAGGAGCAACTACCAAAGCCACAGTATCACTGGAAACCAGGATACTGAAATAATATGAATTCATAACGAAAGCTGCTTGAATACATAGCTTGGATGTCATGGTGACAGACTGATATGCCCACTGTTACAGGGCCACAGATGTAATTTTAGCAATGTCACTGGGGCAGTGAATTTACCCTCTGTGACAAATAGGAGAAACAGCAGAATGAAACAACCTGGGGCGATCTTCCTCATCTCATTGTAATACTGCCTTGAAGCAGATTGTCTGTCACCCTGTTATTGGAGATTAGTTTATGCTCTGGGGATATTCATGATTTAGAGTAATCCAAATGATAGAAGAGAAGATTTAAAACAAATAGAAATTGTGGAGAATATTATTTAAAATTTGATGATTTTACTATATACAGTTATCCTCCTCTAATAATCTAATTTTAAAAGCATTGATTTATACTGAGATATATTATTGCAGTGCAAGACATTTTTTGCTACCTTGACCAGTGTAGCCAGTGATTTTATCAATTGAACCATTGGGGAAGCTGTCTGATTTTTTTCTTAATAGGCATGAAAATTAAACTTTAAATTTAACAATAACTTGCATTATATAGTTCCTTCATGTGAGGTAGCATATCGGATGCCTAGTAGACATGCAGACAAAGTAAACACAATCAGCGAATTTAAGAAGCGGGAAGCATTGCTTACCAATCTTCATTCCTCACTCATATCGTTGGATATCGAATTGCATTTTAGTTGACTTCTAAGGCTGACATTCCACTACAGTACAGGGAAGTTCGGTATTGTCGGAGGTACCGATCTTCGAATGATTTATTATACTGAGGTCCCTTCTGCCTGTTAAGGGGAATGTCATAGATTTATTACATTATTCAAAAAGAGTAGGTGGTTTCTTCCTGTGTCCTTGCCAACAATCTCCCAGATAAATTTGTAATTCGCTTTATGGCTGCTGTGTGCAAATTGGCTTAAACATATAAAAATAAATTGAGTTGGTTTCAAGATAACTGTTTGGATCTTCATGAAAGACAACAAAGAGAATACAGCGGTGGGGAGCAATGGCTCGATACACATTAACAATGGGTGAAGAAACATAAAAATTGAGTGCAAATTGAACACCAACCATAGGTGAATATGTCAGTTAGGGCCAATCTGTCACTCCAGACGGAATGCATCCTTTATTCCCTGTTATAAAGCTGAAATTCCCATTGCATGAGAAACTGGATATGTTTCACTTGGCCTCATAAATGTAACATTAAGTTTGTTCAATATAATCCCAAACAATGTGAATTAATTAGAGTAGAATTTTCACATCTTGTTCATGCTACTAAAGTTGTAATATGG